GCGGGTCTCAAACCCACGGGCTCAGGCAATCCACTCACCTCAGCCTCCCAAAGGCGCGGGATTACAGGCTGAGCCACCGAACCTGGTTTTTACAAATTTTTTTTAAAAAATGTACCAGGATGTGGTGCTCATGCCTGTAGTTTCAGTTACTTGGGAGACTGAGGCAGGAGGACTGAGGCAGGAGGTCTGGCAGTTTGAGGCTGCAGTCATCATGCCACTGCACTCTAGCCTGGGCGACAGAGTGAGACACTATCAAAAAAAAAAACCCACAAAATAACAACAAAAACAACAATAAAAAACACAGACTAAGAACAAGAATAAAAATAAGAACCAGAAAACTTCGACACACTTATCAAGGGTGTGTCTCCAGCCAGGTACTGCACTAAACGTTTTGCATGTTTAATCATTCACTCTTCCTCTCAACCAGGTGCTCTTATCTTCATTTTTCTGACAAGTGGGCAGGAGTCTGGTGTGTTAGGGGCACAGTGGGCAGTGCAAGGGGATGCCAAGGCCTGGGAACAGGAGGGACCCCTGACCACCCCCCGCCCTGCACTCCACACAGGTGCAGACATTCCATGGAGACCTGCTGCAGCACATGGAGAAGAACACCAAGCTGGACATGCAGTTCATCAAAGTGAGTCTGGCCTTCCCACCTCGGCGCCCTCGCCCGTCACAGGCAGGCCACTGCTCCCCATTTGACAGAGGTTATATACGTTCCCAGCTGAACCGGCCACTTCCTGTCCAGTCCTCTGCCCCCGGAAGGGGTGTCTTGAGCTCTCTGATGTGGAGAAGTCTCCCTTCCCTCTCCCCCGACTCCAGGACAGCCGCCAGCACTATGAGATCGAGTACCGCCACCGAGCTGCCAACCTAGAGAAGCGCATGTCTGAGCTGTGGCGCATGGAACGCAAGAGGGACAAGAATGCGCGGGAGATGAAGGTATGAAGGTTGGGGGACAAGGCTGGGCACCAGGAACCCCCGAGACCCCCTGAGCTCCCCCCAGCCCGGTCCAGCTGTGGTGAGCACAGCTGAGGACGTCAGTCAGCCCTAGCAGGGTGGGTGTTACCCGCCCTCGGGGCTGCCCCAGCACCGTCCTCGCCCTGTGGCATCACGGTCTTCCCATCTCCCCTCCCCTCTTCCCCTACTTCACTGAGGAAACGGAGGCCATCAGTTCTCCTGAACATGGCAGTAAAGGTGCACTCCACTGCTGCCCAGCATCCTCCCCCACTCCTGCCAGGCAGAGGCATCCCAGCTGCCCAGCTAAGGCCAGTCCCTCCTCCCCAGCCAGAGTCCCATCTCTGGCCTCTGTTTCCAAGACCCAAACCCACGGATTAACCCTCTATGGTAAGTCCCCTACATATGAACCTTCAAGTTGCAAACTTTCAAAGATGCGAACGTGCATGTGCATGTCCACTCACGTAAGTTAGTTCGCATGTCTGGGATACATTGTCTTGTGCATGCATCCTCTACAAGTGGTTGTGCTTTTGTGTACTCTACTGTACAATACTATGTAGAGTACAGTAGCCCAGTATCTTTATTCAAGCCCTGGATGTCCAGAAGCAAGCGTAAGAGCCGTGGTAATATAGCTGGCACTGTATAGCCGACTGTGTTGGTTGAGTCCCTAGGCATACTTTGTTGGAGTTACAAACAAATTGGACTTACGAATGTGCTGTCAGAAAGGAACTCGTTCGTATGTAGGGGACTTACTGTATCTCCTTGCCTGTCTCCTCTCTTGGCTCCTTTGAGTAAGGTCATGTCTTCCTCTTCAGAATCTTTCCTCCCAAGTAGGGGCTATTCATCTACTCGTTCATATTTTCATTAAACCACCCTCCCCAGGCTCACCCCTGTGCTCAGGCCTGTCCCAGGTGCCAGAGAAAACATGACGGCTCAGTCACCAGCCCTGCTTGTGAGAAGCACCCAGGCCAGGAGGGCACTGGGCCCAGACTCATGAGGGCTGGTGTCTGAGGCTCGGGAGCTAGGATGGGTCGGGTGCTCAGGGAGGGACTCCGGGAGGAGGTGGGCCAGGAAGGATGGGGGGCTTGAACAACAGGCACCTGCTGGGGCCGAACGAGGCACTCGTCCACTGCCCCAGACGGAACCTTTCCCCCCAGGAAAGTGTGAACCGGCTGCACGCGCAGATGCAAGCCTTTGTGTCTGAGAGTCAGCGGGCAGCTGAACTGGAAGAGAAGCGGCGCTATCGCTTCCTGGCAGAGAAGCACCTGCTGCTTTCTAACACCTTCCTGCATTTCTTCAGCCGGGTGAGCTGGGGCTGGGGGGCAGTGAGTGGGGCCTTCCTAGGGGTTACACCCTCCTTGAGCTGGCCATACACGGGAAATTCCCTCCCCTCTTCCCTTTTTCCTTCTTTCCTACCTCTCTGTAGAAACTTATTTTACTCTCTCCACTCGTCTATGTCTTTATTTGTTTCTGTGTTTAAATTGCGGTATATTCATTCATTTATTCACTAATGATTTTGTCTATGTTTGCATGCATTCACTAATTCATGGATGGATACTTTTAAAATTTCTGCTTGCGTATTCTCACCATTCACAAATTCATTAGTTGATAGGATTGTTGTCTACTAATTTTATCATATTACTTAAATCCTCTATGCTCTTGCTTTGTTCTGTGCTAGATCAGTTCGATTTTTTTAATTTCTCATTAGATTTCGCTTTCTGAATTTAGCTGCCATGTTGTTGGGTGCTTTGGGGTTTATGACTATGTGCCCTAAGTTTAATTAAGTCCCACTTATTTATTTTTGTTTTAGTTGCATTTGCTTTGAGGGTTTTAGCCATAAATTTCTGGCCTAGGCCAGTATCCGTAAAGAGTTTTTCCTAGGTTTTCTTCTAGAATTTTTTTATGGTTTAATCCATCTCAAGTTAATTTCTGCAATATGGGGAGAGATAAGACTCAAGTTTCATTTTTCTTCATGTAGCTATTCAATTTTCTCAGCACCATTTGTTGAATAGGTTGTCCTTTCTCCAGTTTTTGTTTTTTGGTTTTTTTGTCTGCTTTGTCAAAGATCAGTTGGTTGTAGGTATTGAGGCTTATTTCTGGATTCTTTATTCTGTTTCATTAGTCCATGTTTCTGCTCTTGTGCTAGTTCCATGCTGTTTTGGTTACTACAGTCTGGTAATATAATTTGATGTCAGGTAATGTGGTGTCTCCAGCTTTGTTCTTTTTGCTTAGGATTGCTTTGGCTATTCTGGCTCTTTTTTGGTCCATATGAATTTTAGGATTGTTTTTTCTAATTCTGTGAAAAATGACTTTGACAGTTGGATAGGGATTGCATTGAATATGTAGATTACTTTGGATAATATGATCATTTTAATAATGTTGATTCTTCCAATCCATAAGCTGTTTCTCCATTTTTTTGTATCCTCTGCAATTTCTTTCATTACAGTTTTGTCGTTCTCCTTGTAGAGATCTGTCACCTCCTTGATTAAATATATTCTTAGGTATTTTAGCTTTTTAGCTGCTATTGCATCTGAAGTTTAGTTCTTTTTTATATTCTCAGCTTGGTCACTATTGGTATATAGCAGTGCTACTCATTTGTGTGTGTTGATTTTGTATCCTCTCCACCCCCACGTCATGGTTCTGCCACGATAGGTCAGGACTTTTAGTTCTCGACCCTCCCCAGTCACCTCTTTGCAACGTGACCCTTGTGTTTCAAGAACTTGACTTAGATTACTTGTATTCCCACTTCCCAGTGCACCGCCATCCTCTGTTGCTGGTCCACCACTCATGTGATCAGACACATTGCTTGCCCTGCTTCACTCCTCCTTGTCTCCCACTGCCTTGAGACCTCCGTTTTGATTCACTGGTGTGGACAGAGAACTTTCATTGGTGTTTTCTGCAGCTACACTGCCTGAATCCTTGCATGTCTGCAAATGGCTGGCTTTCACCGCCTGGTGAGTGGTGTAGTGGCTGGCTGAAGGGCTCGAGAGCTGCAAGACTTTTCTTTCATGGTTCAAGGTGATATCCCCTGGCTCTCTCGCACCCTGTGTGGATGCCGTATCTGGTGCTGGTCTGTTTCACTTCCCTCTAAGGAACTGGCTCTTTGTCTGTGGATACTTGGAGATGTCTTGGGTCCTTGGGACTGAGCACCTTGCCAGGTGCCACCTTGATGAGTGCCCAGTACTCCTCCAGGCTCTTCTGTTTCTTTAACTATGGTCTCCTCCCCTCGTTCCTCCCCTTGTTCTTTCATTCTGGAACTCTGTCATCAGGGCCTTCACCATCTATGACCTTCTCTCTCAGCATGTCTATGTCATTTGTTCTTTTTAAAAAAAATGTCATAGAACTTTTGATGTATATTTCATCTATTCTTGCTCTATAGTTTGAGATATTTCTCCCCTCTGACCGTCAGCCTGCTAATTCCATTCTCAGCAGGCCCAGCCTCTCTTTTAGTTTATCAGAAAACTGTGCTTTGTCTGATAAAGAAGGTCTTTGTTATCAGCAAGTGTTTTTCTCATCCGCTCATCAGTTCCTTCTCCCAGCTGCCCAGGTGGTCTGCCAGGCCCTCCTCCCTGCCGGGCCCTCCTCTCTGGACACCGGGACCACTTAGGTGCCTTGTTTTGTAACTTTGCCTCCTCGTCACCCTGCTCTCACTCTGGGTTGAGGTGAGCTGCAAGGGCCTCAGGCAGCGGTGCTGGCAAATAGGGATGGGGGAAGTGGAGCAATCTCTGCCCCCATGGACTGCCTTGTCTCACTGTCCAGAGGCCAAACTCCCACTATGGCACAGAGATGATCCTGCTCTGTCCCTGAGCTTCTGTTACAAGCATCAGCAGCTCTAGTCCAGACAGTGGGATAGGAATTAACTTAACCTCCCCATGTGCTGCAGACAGGGCTTCTAGAAAAGCTTGTGCAGGCTGTGCACTATACAAGGGCACCAGGTGGGGAGTAGACACGGTGCTCTGCTCTTTGGACTGCACACAGTGGTGCAGACTGTGTTTGCCTAGAGAAAGGCACACTGCTCCTTGCAAAAAGATGTCGTCCTCCCGCCAAATGTGTGCCCACCAGGCTGTGTCCACCCAGAGGGGACATCTGCCCCTAAATTATAACAGAGAAGCCTTATGAACTGGCAGTAGCCTGTACCTATTGGCTCCTGGAGCTCAGAAAAACCAACAGGGAGAAACAATTTTTTTTTTAAAGCAGCTTTATTGAGATATAATTCACATACCATACAATTCACCCATTTAAAGTATACGATTCAATGGTTGTGATATTTTCACAGTGTTTGTGCACCCTTCATCCTGCATCAAGCTTACAATATTTTTTCATTACCCCCTCAAGAAAAAACCCCAGTAACCCTTAGCTGTCATTCCCCAATCCTCCCTGTCCTGGGTGACTCTAATCTACTTCCTGTCTCAATAGACTTGTCCATTCTGGACATTTCATATAAATGTTATCATACACTCTGTGATCCTTTGTGACCAGCTTCCCCTTTTGGGGGGAAGGGGTTGAGTCGAAGTCTCACTCTGTCTTCCAGGCTGGAGTGCAGTGGCATGATCACAAGGATCACAGCTCACTGCAGCCTCTATTCCTGGGCTCAAGTGATCCTCCCACCTCAGCCTCCTGAGTAGCTGAGACTACAGGTGTGCATCACCACACCCAGCTAATTTTTTTTTTTTTTGTAGAGACGAGGTACCCCGGCCGGTCTCAAACTCCTGGGCTCAAACAATCCTCCCATCTCAGCCTCCCAAGGTGCTGGGAATACAGGCGTGAACCACAACGCCCAGCCCTGGCTTCCTTATTTTTACTGAATATACTCCATTACCTGGATAAACCACATTTTATTTTCTTGTTCATCAGTTCATGGGCACTTAGGCTAGTTCCAATCTTTGGCTATTATGAGTAATGCTGCTCTGAACATCCATGTACGAGATTTTGTGTGGACACATGTTCTCGTTTCTGTTTGGCATGTAGAGTAGAATTGGACCATGTGGTAACTCTAGGTTTAACTGTTTGAGGCACTTCCAGATTCTTCCATTTACATGCCCATCAACAGTTTATGGGGATTCCAATTTCTCCACATCCTCCATGCCTGTTACTATCTTTTGACGATAGCTATCCTCGTGGGCAGAGGCACTGTCTCACCGCATGCATGAATGCAGTTTCCCTGGTGGCTCATGAGTAGAGCATCCTTTCATGTGCTGATTGGCCACTTAGGTATCTTCTTTGGAAGGAAACTCCTTTCTGCCTGTCCTGAGTGTCAGCTTCCTGCGTTAAGAGGGGAACTGACCCATTGCTTGACTGCCTCCTGGCGGATGATCACCCCTCAGGAGGGAGCTATGGGTTAAACAGTCAGACTTCCCCTAAGCATGGGGAACAGGTACCATGTTGTCTGACTCAGCTGGACTTCAAGACTGCCAATATCTAACTTCTAAGTTAGCTAAGCATAAATATTTCCTTGGTACTCTATTTATAAGCAGAATGCACAGTTAGAACAAGATTTAAAGAACTGTAAATCTGTAAATGCCCGGGCACAGTAACGTGTCTTTCACATTTGACTTCAATAATCAGTTCTTGCTCAGTTTGTGTCTAGGCAATACCATGCCTTCCTACCTCAGCTGAGCTTCTCTGGACTTACTGCAGTTGTGTGAGTAGATCTACAGGATAAATTCCTAGACATGGAGAAATGGAATTGGAGAGTCTAAGGACATAGACATTGGTTGCACCAGTTTACACTTCCATCAGCAACACATGAGACTCTGTTTCCACACTCCTTGACAAGAGTGTGTGAGCAAACTTTTTGATCTTGGCTAATCAGAAAGGTTAAGATGGTATCTCAGTGTAGTTTTACCTCATGCTTGTGAGCTTGACATCTTTCCGTGTTTCAGAGCCATTTGACATTTACTGTGACATGTCAGTATCCTTTCCTTCATTTTTATTAATTTATAGGTGCTCTGTGTTACTGAAATTAGCCTTTTCTTGGTGATAAGTTGCAAATATTTTTGCCAGTTTGCCATTTACCATTTGCCTTTGTTATAGTCAGTTGGCCATGTGAAAAAGTGATTTCTATTTAGTCCAACTTACTGGTCTTTTCGAGTTTATGAGTTTTGTGTCGTACTTAGAATGCTTTTTCCACTTTGTAAATTTTTTTTCAATATTTCTGTGATTTTGAAACCCTATTCAGTGGTTTCTTCTCACCCGCTGGCTAAACTGCCTGGGAGCAGGGCTGAAGGAAGCTGTGAAGTTGAGTGTTGTCCTGGTTGGGACTCAGAGCTGTGGATGTTACTCCCAGAACCTTCTAGTACTCTGACAAGCACTCTTCATGGGATATTCTCAAATTGCACACAAATCTCTCTCTCTTTTTTTTTTTTTTTTTTGAGTTGGAGTCTCACTCTGTCACCCAGGCTAGAGCACAGTGGCACGCTCATGGCCACCCCAGCATCGACCTGCTGGGCTCCAGTGATCCTTCCTCCTCAGCCTTCCCAGTAGCCGGAACTACAGGCACGTACCACCACGCCCGACTAAATTTTTTATTTTACTGTAGAGATGAAGTACCGCCAAGCTGCCCAGGCTGGTCTTGAACCCGCAGACTCGGGCAATCCACTCGCCTCAGCCTCCCAAAGTACTGGGATTACAGGCTGAGCCACTGAACCCAGCCACAAATCTCTTTTACTATATGATATATAGAACCTAGTGATCTCACTTCGCTTAGCACCCCTGAAACAGGTGCACAAAGCACTTCGGGTTTTGTCTTCATGCATTTTGTTAATTACTGTAAGGAAGGGGGTGGGGGGGCAATTAGTGACCAGCTAGACTAGTTGCCCCTGTGATGGGAGGCTTTGAATTTTTCTGTTCTTGCTGCCTGAGGCTACTATGAGGTTTTCAGCGGTTGGGCCAGGTTGAAGGGAGTCATCACTGAAAAGGGATGTCATAGGAGGCTTCTTCAAAGACAGACTGGGACAGGCCACCTCACTGCTTCTTGGATGTGAGGCCCTGAGCCCGACGCTTCACTTCTCTGACCCTCAGCATCTTCTTTTATAAAATGGAGTTCATAACTGCACCTACCACCCAGGGCTGTTGTGCAGGAAACTGGCCTGGTCCAGAGTGAAAGCGCAATAAAAAAACACTTTCCTTATTCCTAAGGTGACAAGTCTTGAGCCTGGCCTTGGGGGAGGGGGTGTTTGAAAATAAAAGGGAGAGATGTTTATAGCTAGAGGGCACGGTGTCTCGACAGTATCTGGGATTTAATTTATAGAGGTGACCGAGGGGCAACATAGAGTGGCCAGTGCCATTTGAAGAAGTTTTATTACTCATAGTTCCCAAGAAAAGGGTCCACGCCATCCACAAGGAAAGGGTCCACGCCACATGGGAGGCGCCAGAGCTGGTCAGGAGGCAGCAGGAGCGAGAGGAAAGTGTGGCCCAGGCAGAGCATGAAGGAGTGGGTAAGACAGGGCAGGCAAGTTTGGTCAAGCTTAGAACTGGATCGTTGAATAATTTCAGATCGTTGAATAATTTCTCGGGCTGGAGAGGCAGTCTCTAGCTGGTACCTGGCTGGGGAGATTTAGGGCAGGAGGAATACTATCTTGGTGCATGAGTTAGATAGAGAAGGCTGGGATATGGGTTTTGTGGGTTGTTGTTGTTTTAGAGATGGGATCTCACTCCATCATAAAGACTGGAGTGCAATGGTGCGATCTCAGCTCACCGCAGCCTCAAACTCCTGGGCTCGTGCAATCCTCCCACCTCATCTTCCCGAGTAGTGGGACTACAAGCGTATACCACTGTGCCTGGTGAATTTTTAAGTTTTTTGCAGAGACAGTCTCGCTATGTGTTAACCAGGCTGACCTCAAGTGATCTTCCCACCTCCTGCCTTGGCCTCCCAAAGTGCTGGCATTACAGGAGTGAGCCACCGCATCCAGCCTGGGCTATGGGCTTGGGTTGGTTGGTTTACCCACCAAAGGTGTGCTCTATGGCAAGGCGTTTACCATGTCTGGGAAGGTGGGTCTGTCTAGGATTAGCAAGTCCCAAGATGTCAAAGCTTCATCAAATACAGGAAACAAAAAACATGGTAAGTTCACCCAATGGGTCTTACACTTACAGCCATCCCACCCCAGGTGGTCAGCTGCTGAGTTTTCCGTCCTTGTTCTCAAAGGTATTCAAGCAGAGGCAGATATTTGTGTTTTGAGGACATCAGAAAGGAGAGGCTTAGGTAGGGTGAACTGGAAAACTCTATTTGAAAGGCTTCTTTTAACTGGGTGCAGTGGCTCATGCCTGTAATCACAGCACTTTGGGAGGCCAGAGTGAGTGGATTGCCTGAGCCTGAGGGTTTGAGACCAGCCCGGGGAACTTGGCGAGACCTCGTCTCTACAACAAAAATAAAAAACAGCCGGATGTGGTAGCGCACGTCCGTAGTTCCAGCTACTCAGAAGGCTGAGGTCGAAGGATCACCGGAGCCCACCAGGTCGACACTTGGGGTGGCCGAGAGCATGGCACTGCACCCCAGCCTGGGCAACAGAGTGAGACTCCAACTCAAACAAAAAAGAAACAAAATAACAACAACAAAATTAGCCGGGAACAGTGAGGCACACCTGTAGTTCCAGCTACTTGGAAGGCTGAGGCAGAAGGATCACCTGAACCCAGCCCGTCAAGGCTGCAGTGGCTGTGAGCATGCCGCTGCGCTCCAGCCTGGGCAACAGAGTGAGACTCCGACTCAAAAAAAAAAGAAAAAGGCTTGTTTTAGAAAATCACTCGACCTGGCTTAAACAGAAAAGGTATTAGTGCTTTAGGTAACTTGGAAGTTGCAGGGTTTCAGAAATAGCCGGATCCAGGAGCACAACAGATGTCATCAGAAATCTGCCTCTGTCCCTTGCTTAGTTTTGGTCTCCTGTGTTGGCTTCACGCCACCTGTTTAGCAAACCCACCCCCTAAAAGAATGTCCTTTCCCGAGAGTGGCAGGGCAAGTAACAGGGTCGGGATCTTTGGTCACAGTTCTTGTTGAAATGCCACCCCTGAGCCCACCGCTGCAGCCAGGAGGATGGGGACCCCGAGGGGCCAGGCCTGGGCGCCGCAGCCCAA